GCAATAATCAAATCATTTCTTCTAATGTTTTTAGAAACAAGTTTTAAAATGTGTGTGTGTGTTTAACAAATGTTAAAGTATGATCTCTGCTAGGACTATATCTGCTGGTGTACAGTTGTATATTAAAGAATATTTTCTGCTCTTCCGCAGGTCACACAGGAGATTTCAGACCCGAGCCGAGTGTTCAGACTCCTGGGATCTGACAGGTTATATCTTGAACATATTATTTATTTCTGTCTCTCTCTGCTGCTTTACATCATCTCTATTTTCCTCTACTGTTATATCATGGAAATATCATTCTCCGCCTTCACATCTTTTCTGAAACTCTGCATGCAGCCTCTTTAACTCCACACATGCGGTGGACAGAAATAGAGACATGAGTAGGAAAAAAGCCAACCGGGAGAACGGGGTGTCCCGACTGGGTTTGTTTCTATAGTGAGGGAAGCCCTGGGTCAGGTTTATGAGGGGGACCTGAGCTTTGTGTGACGTACAGGGTTAAATTAGGTCTGTCAAAGCCCAACCTAGATGTTTTGTTTTTCTGCCCCAGCTGGGCCAGTCATTTCCTGCCAAAATTAATACTGCTAAAAGACAAAAAATAAAATGAAAGTTGTATGCGCATTATATTGTTTTAAATGTAATTAATTGTACTTGTCAAGATATGAAATGATTATAAAATATTAGCAAGATTATTATATAAACATGTTTAAATCTTCAGTACATACACATATAATGCAACTTTTTGACTATACTATGTGTATTTTACACACACATACATACATATATACATATATATATTATATTTAATTAATATTTTTAATTTAAATTTGTATTTGTTGTTATTTTAATTTATATATTTTATTTCATATATTATATTTAATTTTATTTTAATTTCATTATTTTACATTTTTATTTAAATTTAATTTATGTTATTTTAAATTTATATTAGGATGTATTTAACATTTTTATATTTAAATTTATGTATTTTTATTTCATTTTAATTTATATTTAATTAAATTTACATTTTTATTTACTTTTTTTTTGTTTATTTATTTTTTGCCCTTTACATTTGTCAGCTACAATACATTATTTTTGTAGTAGCTTGCAAGCACACAAACAAAAAGATTGTACAAGATCAGCAAATGTAAAAAAGGGCTGTCTGGGCCATCCTTATTGTTTAACTAAGCATTATGCATTAAGAGTTGTGATTAATTACAGTACTAATAATAAAAATAAACTTGCATTTAAAACCACTATAACGGAATACAATAATACAGAAATAAAAGCAGCATTATATTGACTTCAAAACCTCCTTTTTTATAAGGATAATCAGAGCTTTACTTGTCTGCCGCTTGTTTCTCTGAGTCAGTGAAACGTATCAGTGTCATCATACATCGACACCACGCACACAATGGCCCTGTACCACCTCAAGACCCTCGTTAGCACATGCTGTCTTTCTCTTTCACTCTCCCTCTGAGATCTCCATATTTTATTTACACTGGCAGTGCCAGGCCGGTGTCTGTGTGCTGTAATTTCATCTGCCGCCTGCTGCTGAGGACACGACCAGCCTCGCGCTCGCACCAACCTCACACAACCCCTCCACACTTGCATCATCGCCGCTTTTCTTCCACCCCTTTTAACCCCCGTATGGGATTTGTGTAATTAATGCATCTGTGCAATTTTAGGGTCGTTGTTCTGGAGAGCCGGCCTACAGATAACCCCACCGCTTACAGTAACCTCTACATCCTGGCGGGACACGAGAACAGTTATTAGCTCCACCTTCTCTGAGCCACTGCTGGAGCCTTTGTATCAGATCCACACCGACGCTGGACAACCACAGCTGAGCTGATGTGCAGACTGTGTTTAGTGCGAAATCTCACTGCAGTCTTATGCAGTAACACCGCCCACATGCCAGAGACCCCAGACGTCAAACAAACAAACAAACATAATCAAACATCATGCAGTTCAACAACAGCCGATTTGTGCAAATCAAGCAAGCTCTGCATTCAATACTCGTTTGTTTTTTAACCCTATTAAATGTAATCATTCTAAACATTTAAACCAATGTTAAAGGTGCAGAGATAGACCATTGAGCATGCATCGCAGCTCAGAAAGTGCCATAATAAGGGAACGGTTTTAATAAAATTAATTAACTTTGGAGGTTTTTGTTAACGGGGATTTCAGATGTCAGGCTTTTAATGCCTGCTTAATGGGAAGAGTTTTGGGAAAGTGAGCGAGTGAGAGTTATTTATTCAGCCGAGTCGTGTGGAGCATCTCACCCTCATGACTGAGTGAATATTTTTCTGCTGCAGGTCATTTTTTATTCTTTGTGTGTAGCTTTTACTTCCTCAGTTTCCGAGTAATATTTTAATTTTTCAGTTACCGCTTTTAAAAGTAAGTTTAATTCGATACTTGCACCATGTAAGCACTTTTGTACATGTTTCTTTTTGTATTTAAAAATGACAAAACATGGGAGATGCGAGGTTACTGTGATATCTCAAGTGTTTCCGTTGCTTTAGTTGTAATGTAAGCAGCTTTTGTAATAAAATGGCAACTTGTTAACACTTTGGGTTGTTTTCTTGTGTGTTTGTGAAAATCTTTTTTTGGTAATTCACAGAAATATAGTGAACATGTGAATGCATTTGGACAAGCTCAATATAAAACATGAGCAATTCCATGCTAATGTCAACATTGCCATGAAAAATTATGTTTTCACCAAAATACAGAAACTTTTTCAAGTTTTTTTTGTGTAAGGAAGCATTTTACACTACTTTATAAAAGCTCAAATGTCTCGGACAATATTTTCAAACTATTATATTTAATTTACCAAAGTCACACGAGTGGCAATTTCACATCTGTCACATGCATAACAGAGTGATGTCACATCCATAATTAAGATTTTCTCTCATAAATGCAAAAAAAAAAAAAGCCACATAAAATTAAGTCAATCATGTTTGTTCTATAGTGAGACATCTTTTATCCTCTTGATTGGCATTATTTCTTTTGGGTTGTGCAGTTTAACTCACAGAATCTCTACAAAGTATGTTGTATACTGCAAACTCGCAGACTTTTTTAGTCACATCCATAATGCATGTTTATTTTCCTTATTTTAAGTATAAAACATGTTTACAGATTGATATTTTTCTGGTCTCATTACTCTGTGGTTAGTTGTTTTGGAAATTTTAAACATGTTTCAATATAATGCTAACATATACTTTCTCTGTGAAAACATTTTTTGAGTTTTTATTGCAAATGTCTCTTCTATAACGCTGGAATTGCTGGAATTGTGACGTTTTTTGTCATTTTCTATAACAAAATCCACACAAATAGGTAAAAAGCTTTCAAAACAAAAATGTTTGGAGATGTTTACTAGTCTGTATGTTTGCACAACACAGAAATACCTCCTTAAAATACAAAATGAGCAGATTTGATAAAGTGATTATACCAGATGTTGTATTTTGACATTTAAGACTGACTTGTGATTTCTCTTTGCTTATGGGTGAAGACCCCACTCACTGTTTGTTTAGTACAATTCCTCTTACTGTAAAACATGTTGGACACTCCTGCTTTAATTGACTGTAGAGGGTTTTTTAATAAAGTAAACTGACTTTAAGAGATATTTGGCAAAGTTTTACCAGCAAAAGTTTTAGATTTTCCTAAATCTTTCCGAAATTTTCCTAACCTAAAATATCTTATCTAATTTATATGGTTGCATTTATTTTGTAATGAATTGTACCATAAAAACAGGTTAAATTGAATAGCATTAAATAAATAAATATATATATATATATATATATATATATATATATATATATATATATATATATATATATATATATATATATATATATAGCCCCTCTGAATTATTAGCCTCCTGTTTATTTTTCCTCAATTTCTGTTCTTTGCCATGATGACAGTAAATATTATTTTACTGGATATTTTTCAAGATACTTCTATGCAGCTTAGTGACATTTAAAAGCTTAATTAGGTTAACTAAGCAGGGTAGGGTAATTAGGCAAGTTAATGTATAATGATGGTTTGTTCTGTAGACTATCGAGAAAAGAAAAAAAAAAGCATAAAGGGGCTAATAATTTTGACCTTGAAATGGTTTTAAAAAATTAAACACTGCTTTTATTTTAGCCGAATTAAAACAAAGAAGACTTTCTCCAGAAGAAAAAAAATGATCAAACATACTGTGAAAATGTCCTTGCTCTGTTAAACATAGTTAAACATAATTTGGGAAATATTTAAAGAAAAAAAATTGAAAGGGGGGCTAATAACCTCAACTGTAATATATCCAAGTCATGGATATAGTGTTGTACAGTGACACTAATGTATTCAAATGAACAATGTAAACAGGTTTTTGGAAAAAAATAAAATTAAATTTGGAAGTCAAAACAAGAACAAAACTCTCCAAACCAAAGTGTCTGGATTATTGTTTATAATGAGTAGATTTTCCAGTTGTAGTTATAGACCATTTCAATGTGGTCATGTCATTGACCCATAAACATTTCCTGCTTGTTGTTAAACTATTTCATAACTGTAACCTGAGGCAATTCAATTCAAACATTATTTATCAATATGAAGCTCTTTTTGGATTCAAATAAGCTAAGGAAATTAAACATGTATGACATGAAATATGTGAAAACAACTGTTATCGTTTATATCCCTCAAAGTGGTCTATAGTATGCTCTGTGGTTTACTAAAGAAGCTGTTTAATTTCCTAATGTGGTAACACCTTTCTGCACCTTCTGCACGTACTATTATCACGCTTTCGCACAGCCTGTGTACGCGTCCACATGTGTAAACAACTGTGTGTGTTATTTTCGTTTTAATCGATAAACGCAGGATTTACAGTCCCTCTGTCTCGTAAATGACTGATCTGAGGTCAGGTCGAGCGGATTGTTTCGTGCCTTGAGAGTGTTGCCGTGCAGACTGAAGCGCGCGCACGGCGGAGGCGGAGTTTTGACGCGGTTTCTACGGCGACCGGCCGCTTGTAAATAGCGTGTTTTCTTCTCCATGCGAACTCAAACACATCTTCACGAAACACGGACACGGTTATATCTGTCCGTCTGATTATCCAAACACGAACTTCTCCGCTTAATTTGACGACACTTCATCTTGGTAGTTTGCTAATTGTTGTACACTTTCTTTTTATTAAGCTGTAAAGCGAATATTTTGATGATACGTTAGAAGGTAAGCTCGCTCTTTCATCTATATTCCATTAATACACAAGTTAGGGTGTTTGCATAGTGTATATATTGGTACTAAAGTTGAACACTATAAACTTGACAGTTTAGTAGCTACTTTTAGAGTAGTAAACTAGTAACATTCAACAAGAAATCATCTTGACCACACAGTCTCTGTTACTTAATAGTAATGTCAATAGCTTCCTTTCACTACGAGGAAGACTTACCTTTAAAATACATACTGTCTTGGAGACTAACGTTAAATAGCTTCAGGAAAGAAAATGGTGACCTTTGAATATTAATTTTTAAAATAATATAAGGAAAATTAAGTTTTTGTTATATGCTCCTTGTATTTTAAGTTAGGCATTTCTGTAACTGCTCACAAATTAGTGTAAAGACAATAATACTGCATCAAAGCCTGCTGTAACCTACCTCAGCCTCTGGTAAAATGTATATTGTTGTAATTGTATAAATATATTTAAGTAACATCTGAGCAAGTATATTACTGTTTAACGAAATACATCTAACGTTAAATGCCATTTGAAATGATGGATCCCCACAACAATCTTTATATTTGCAAAAGTGACACCTCTGAAGCTGAATTTAGTTGTTTTTACAGATGCAGCTCAGGCTTAAATGGATACACCACAATTACAACTGTACACTTTTGATACTTGAGGTCAGTCTGAGCAGGTATAATTTAAAATGTCTAATGTGGCATTTTGTCTTCACACTGGATTTTGAGCAGGCACAAAGCAGCCTTAAATCATCTGTGTAGAGATCAAGTCAAGTTGACATTATTGTCATTTCAACAATATACAGTGTAGTACACGGTGAAACGAACATCAAACACATTAAACAACATATAAAATACTTTGTTAACTTTGTCATTAACTATACAAATTTTGAGATAAACTAAAGATAAAATAAAATAAGAATAAGAGTGCAAAAGTGTGGTTTGTGCAACATTTAGTGCAAATAAGACCGGACAGACAAGACAGGACAATAAACAGTAACGCCGACCAGTACGTTATGAGTACGAGATGCCTTAAATGTTAGTTTTTTAAACAAAACAAAATGCGTGTCACTTTCTGTGTTTGTGGTTCATGTACTTACTGTAGTATTATCATTAAATTATGCACAAGTACATCTTAAGCTTATAGTAAGTACATTGCTTACTACTTAAGCGCATAATTACAGTGTAACAAGAGCACCTTAAAATAAAACGTAACCCTATACATAGAAAGAATTTTTGACAACAAGTAATGTTAACTATAGTAAGTGCATAAAATAAAGTGTAACTACATTGTTACCAACTGCTCCATATATATATTTATCATTAACAAACCTCATATTTTGCTTCAGGTTTGACATTTAGATCATCCTCGAGGTGACCGTTGTCATAAGTTTGTCTTGCTGTAGCGATGGAGAAGTATGAGAAGATCAGTAAGATTGGCGAAGGCTCGTACGGCGTTGTGTTCAAGTGCAGGAATAAAGACACCGGACAGATTGTCGCCATCAAGAAGTTTGTGGAGTCTGAGGATGATCCCATCATTAAGAAAATAGCGCTCAGAGAAATCCGCATGCTGAAGGTAAACACTTAAAATGCTCATTTTAGACTGCTTTAAAATGCTGTTTCAGCAGGAAATCAAGACCTTTTAATTCCTGTTTTGTGCAGTTCTCATTTGTGCACTTAAAAATGAATCTCAGAGGTGTTATTGTGTCAGTATTGAGTGTATGGCAGCAGGATGTTTTAATAATCAGTGTTTGGAGCTCTTGTGCGATTTGCAAACTCTTTCCTTTGAGCTGAGAGCGAGGCTGTGGCTTTGAAGATCTGACCTGTCAGCCAACACTGGATTACCAATTAATTTCACTCTGTTATGCATGAATGGATGGATGGATAAATATTCTTGTTGTTCCTTTCCACTCCCTTGAGGGTGTTTTCCTTTCTTTAATTAGGCTGAGCATGATAGCAGAGGTTACTGTACCACTGACTTGAGCTTTCAAGTGTGTGTGATATTGTCTATAAAAGGAGCTCATGTTTATTTGATTATTATAACTACCTGTTTTTAAGTTAGTTTTAAGAAAGATTGTTTCAGTCTAACCCATAACAGTTCTAAGATTTATTCTGGGATGGATGGAGACCTGTTGCTGTTGGTGATGTTGGAATTTCAGAATTTTTGCTTTATTATATTTTTATGTTTTAAGTTTATTTGTTTAAATCTGTTTTTTATTTTCTTTGTTATTGTCATTTGTATATTCAATATTTATTCATTGATAAGATGTGAAGCTGGATGTTTTATAATAAATCCTTACATTTATATGGCACTTTTTGGACACTCAAATCATCTATCACCAGTGTGCAGCATCCACCTGGATGAGGACAGCACCCATATTGCCCCAGACCACACACCAGCAGACTGGTGGAGAGGAGACAGAGTGATGAAGCCAATTATGATATGGGGATGGTTAGGAGGCCATGATGGACAGAGGCCAGTGTGCAAATTTGGTCTGGATGTCATGAGAAACTGAGTCCCCCCCCGGAGTTGTAACAGGCATAGTTTGCAGCACCTGATAAAAAGTGTGTGTGTGCGTATATATAAATGCAGCGAAATCATGTGTAAATGATTGTAATATTAAAAGAGCGTTATAATGACATAAAACATGTAGAATTTCACTTTCATGCTTTTATTTAAGATAGCCAACAACGTTCTACCACTTATGTAAATATTTATTTACTTATAAATACATAAAAACATTAAAAAGACATCATTAAATGTTTACAAAGGTTTCAATTATTTTAACTATGCTTGTCTTTAACTTGTAGTTACCAATAATAATTTTTCTAATATGATAAGTCTCAATCTCAAGACTGAGAATAGATTATAAAAAGCACTTTTGATCAGGCATTCAATGCAATCGATTCATTGGGGTTCTAAGTAGACTCGATTGCAGGGGGACTCAATTTCTTACCACATCGGGGTTAAACCCCTACTCTTTTTTTTTTTTGAAGAACATCCTTGGATTTTTAATGACCACATAGTGTAACATCTCATCCGAAAGATGGCGCTTACTATAGAGCTGTATAGAGTCCCCTTCCCTATACTGGGGCATTAGGACTCACACAGACCGCAGGTTGAGCAGCCCCTGCTGGTCCAAATAACACCACTTCCAGCAACAACCTAGCTTTCCCATGTGGTCTTCCATCCACGTACTGACCAGGCACAGCCCTGCTTAGCTTCAATGGGCGACCATGTGAGAGTTGCTAAGAGCCAGCTGCTGGCTAGCTTTTCTAATTAATATAGTATTTACTTTACGTGAAGTGTTTAAATTATATTACAAGTCCATAAATAGATATTTGTTTTGATTAAATAAAAAAAGATAAGTACTTTTGCTAAATTCATAACAAATTTGTAAAATTCTCCAGTGCTTAGTCGCTAAAACAATAAGCACATTTGTGAGCGTCATGTGAATTATACAAATGATCAGATATTCTACCTTTCATTGAAGCACAATTTGCTCTTAGGAACTTAAATCATGGCAGAGAACCATTGTCATATCATGGCAATTTGTAACTTTGATTTAGTGGCTAAATCGCATGAATGTGTACAATCTCATTCGTGCAAATTAGGACGATTTGTTCATCCCACAATGACAGTTGGGTTTAGGGATGGGCTTTGGTGCCTTCTTTGAAAAATATTACATATTCGTATACTGTATCGTAGCCAGTAACCAGACAATGTATAAAATAGTTAGATCGGAAAATAGTTAATCACAAACTTGTTCCATTCATCATCACAGCAAAAAGGTGACAAACAGATGTTCTAAAAGCTGCATTAAATTTGAAATAAGAAGCATTTTACAAGTGTTTAAACGTTTTTCTGATGCATTTGCATACAAATAAATTCTAATGAGGTCTTTACACTGTGTGTGCAGCAACTAAAACATCCAAACCTGGTGAATCTGATGGAGGTGTTCAGAAGAAAGAGAAAACTTCACCTGGTGTTTGAGTACTGCGACCACACTGTCCTGAATGAGCTGGACAGATACCCACGAGGGTGAGAACACACACACACACACACACACACACACACCTATAAACCGGCTCTGTGTTTCTCATGCTAACAGTCATATTGTTTTTGTTGCTATGCCACCCAGTGTGCCCTTACTGGAATGTTTACTGCAGGATGCATTTGCCCTCTGTGGTGCACTTAAGAGAGACGCTGTTAAACATTTAACAACATTTAACTCTTTCTGTGTCGTCCTCTTGATTTACAAGTCCAAAATCAACAAAGCTCACACAAAAGATGACTTATATATGCACATATACACACTGTCTAGGGTTAGTGCAGGGCTCAGTAGGAGCACTGAGAAGAATGAATGCTTGGTTGAAGCAGAAAATGAGGTTTGTGCTCCTGTAAATCTATTGTGACGCCATTGTGTGTGTGTTCATTCAGTGTTCCAGAGCATATGGTTAAAAGCATCATCTGGCAAACACTTCAGGCTGTGAACTTCTGCCACAAACAAAATGTAAGACTTTTAAACGTGTTGCTACACTTTCCCAATCTTTTACTTTCTTAAAAACATTTTTAAGAAAAAAAAAATAAAAAGAAACAACAAAAAAATACAGTAACTCTTTATTTTATGATTTTTGATGTGTAAAAAACGTTGTTGTATAGAAAAAGCATATTGTTCCTTAAAATAAATAATAATATTTTTAGATTTAAAAAATAAAATACATTGTATTAAGTAAAGTTTTTACAGTATTATCTTGTAAATAGCACTGTTTTATTTAAATTTTGTAGGAAGAATTATTGCATTAAAGCTTTTTTTTTATAAATTGTAATAAAAACCTATTTAATTTCCAATATGTTGAATGAAATTGAAACAAATGTTAGAAATGTTAAAGCTTTTGGTAACAACAATTTATTATTATTATTTTATACACTCACTAGCCACTTTGTTAGTTACACTTTACTAGTAGTGGGTTGCATCCACTTTTGACTTTAGAACTGCCTTAATCCTTTGTGGCATAGAATCAACAAGGTACTGGAAATATTCCTTAGAGAGTTTGGTCCATATTGACATGATAACATGATGCAAATTCCACCACATCCCAAAGGTGCTCTATTGGATTGAGATCTAGTGACTGTGGAGGCCATTTGAGCACATTGAACTCATTGTCATGTTCAAGAAACCAGTCTGAGATGATTCAAGCTTTATGACATGGCACATTATCCAGCTGGAAATAGCCATCAGAAGATGGGTACACTGTGGTCATAAAGGGATGGACATGGTCAGCAACAATACTCATGTTGGTTGTGGTGTTGACACAAAGCTCAATTGGTACTAATGGGCCCAAAGTGCGCCAAGAAAATATAATTTACACCATTACACCACCATCAGCACCAGCCTGAACCGTTGATACAAGGCAGGATGGATCCATGCTTTCATGTTGTTGACGCCATATTCTGACCCTACCATTCGAATGTTGCAGCTGAAATCGAGACTCAGACCAGGGAACGTTTTTCTAATCTTCTATTGTCCAATTTTGGTGAGCCTGTGCAAATTGTAGCTTTAGTTTCCTGTTCTTAACTGACAGGAGTTTCACCCAGTGTGGTCTTCTGCTACTGTAGCCCATCCACTTCAAGAACTTCTCTGAACGATGCTCTTCTGCATACCTTTGTAAAGAGTGGTTAGTTGAATTACTGTTGTCTTTCTGTCAGCTCGAATCAGTCTGGCCATTCTCCTCTGCCCTCTGGCATCCACAAGGCATGTGTGCTCACAGAACTGCCACTCACTGGATATTTTCTCTCTTTCTGACCATTCTCTGTAAACCCTAGAAAAGGTTGTGCGTGAAAATCCCAGTAGATCAGAAGTTTCTGATCAGCCCGCCTGGTGTCAACAACCATACCATGTTCAATGTCCCTTAAAACACCTTTCTTTCTCATTCTGATGCTCGGTTTAAACTGCAGCAGATCTTTACCATGTCTAGGTGCATAAATGTATTAAGTTGCTGCCATGTGATTGGCTGATTAGAAATTAACGTTTATTAGCAGTTGGACAGGTGTACCTAATAAAGTGTCAGTTGAGTGTATATTATTATTTTATATTATTTGTTTTTTAATTATTGCTTATTCATTAATATATTTATTTTAATATCTAATTGAAAGTTTAGATTTATTATGTTATTTATTAAAAATATATATTTTATAGTAATTACAAGATTATTTTAATATGTAACAAATATTTTAATTAATTTATTTATTAACAGGCAACTGCAGGTTTAATATTTTTTTATTTTAATTTTAATATGCAGTCTATAAAAATGCAATTATTTATTTATTTATTCATTCATTAGTTTTTATGAAATAATTTCTTTTAAATGTTTTAGTATATCCCCAACATCATGCTTTGACCTGTATATGTTTCATGAACAGTTGAATATAATAATAATATTATAATAAGTAATTATATAATAATATAGTTATTATCACTAGAGGCAGGATTGATTTAATTTAATCAGTCAGATAAACATGAGTAAAGTATCTTAATACTGTGTTTAGATCAAATATTTGAATAGCCTCATGGAATTATTACCGATATGTGTTGTAGTGTATTCACCGAGATGTGAAGCCTGAAAACATTCTCATCACCAAACATCAGGTCATCAAACTCTGCGACTTCGGCTTTGCCAGGATTCTTAGTGCGTGAACAAATGCAATACACACTCACATTACACACTCTCTAACTTTAATGTTGTATCTAACACCTCATTCTTTATTTCCAGCGGGTCCGTGTGATTATTACACAGATTATGTCGCGACACGGTGGTATCGAGCTCCAGAACTGTTAGTGGGAGACACACAGTACGGCCCGCCGGTAGACGTCTGGGCTGTAGGATGTGTTTTTGCGGAGCTACTCTCTGGCGCCCCCTTGTGGCCGGGCAAATCTGATGTAGACCAGCTGTATCTGATCAGGAAAACTCTGGGTAAGAGACACATTCATAAACCCCAGCTGTTCATATGCTGTAAGCATGCAACTTTCCTGCCTGCCTGATAAGCTAATATATAATATAATCTGAAATATTGTTATCGCTTTTTATTCTCTATTCTTCATCCATGTTAAGCTGCTTTGGCACAATCTACATTGTAAAAGCACTATAGAAATAAAGATGACTTGACTTAATAATTATGGTTTAATGTTGTGCTCATAGGTGAGTTGATTCCTCGACATCAACAGGTGTTCAGCACCAACCAGTTCTTTAGCGGCGTTTGTGTGCCTGAGCCACAGGAGATGGTGAGATGACCAGCAAGTGTTCATCTTGAAAAAGATCATTTGAGGAGATCTAAAAAATTAACCCTCTCTTTTAAATGAATAGGAGCCTCTTGAACTGAAGTATCCCAACTTGTCGTACCAGGCACTGAGCCTCATGAAGGTCAGTTAAACACACAGTAAGCGCACAATGTTCATACACTGCACATTCAGAGTCAGTGTCAGCACATCTGCGTGTGTTTTAGGGTTGTCTGCGGATGGATCCGGCTGAGAGGTTGTCCTGTGAGCAGTTACTGGAACAGCCCTACTTTGACAGTCTGCGAGAGGAGAGCGAGAGTGTGACGCGTGAACTGGACCGCAAGAAACGCACACGGCAGCCACGCAAACACCTGCCACCTGGGGTCTGTTGATATTAAACACTCATACCTTGCCTGTGTCACCCTCTGTTACCAATCATTCAAATAGTTTAAAGATGCAGTATGTAAGTTTGACGCCCAGTGGTTGAATTAGGTATTGCATGCCTGGTTCAAAACAAACGCAAGCACAAGTGTGCCTGACTATCAAGCCTAAAGGCTGATTTAAATAAAAGCAATACACGGATAGAAGAAATATTTTCCATATTAAAGTAGTTTTCACGTGCTTTATTCAGTGTTAAATGCTAACAATGTGAGTTTGAATTCCATTTTACATGACATTTATTGCCATGTAATGAAAGCAGCAGTTTCCCAGGGATGGGTTGCAGCTGGAAGGGCATCCCCTGCATAAAACATATGCTGGATAAGTTGGCGGTTCATTCCGCTGTGGCGACCCCAGATTAATAAAGGGACTAAGCCGAAAAGAAAATGAATGAATGGATGAATAAAAGCAGCAGCAGATAGTTTCACCACAGATCTTGAAAATAAAATAAACAGTTTAAAAAAATGAACTTTAGCACTGTGACTCTGAAAGGCAACACATATCAGTGATTCAGCATGTACATTTAAAAAGTAAAAAGGTTGAATATGCAGTCATTAGGTTATAAACGTTACCATTTCATTGGAGTGCAGTAAGTGCACTATTCTGTGCTTCTGAATGGCTGTATTTAAATTTCTGTGGTGCTTCATCTGGTGCAAACAGCCAAATTGCTTATCAATGCAAATCTAGTCACTTAATGTGTTGTTAGGACACAGGGTGATAATGTAACCTGCTCACCTAATGTTTACGTTCTTAATATTTATATTATTATTTGCTAATTATTTAATAACCTCATGTGGAACTCTGAATCTTCGTCTCATTTCGGAGTCTGCTACTGTCCACCGGAGGTCGCATTTCAGTTACAGATGCACACTTTGAGAGCCTTCCTGACTGAATGAATAAAATTCATGGTTTTCCATCAAGGCAACCCGGGGTGCTGAAATATAAGTGGCTAAACTAGCAGTGGGCGGGTTAAAAGAACCAAAACAAAGACAGTCGTTCCACCATGTAACGCACATTATCAAAGCAGAATATCTGACTTCAGCATTGTTTTTCAGATAAACAAGAATGTTCACTTAGCATGTTTCTTAAATATCTGCAAACATATTGTAGTATTTTTATGCTTTAGAAGAGGCAAAAACTCACATACAGCACCTTTAAACTATACTGTAAAGGGCCAGTCAAACATTTTAAATCATTACGGTTTGAAGCATGTACAACCCTATTGTAATGTAATTGATATAATTTTCTAAGAACAACATCATGCCCTGAAACTGATTAGGCAGACAAAACTGCAAGTACAGTGTAATAGGGGTTGTTCGGGACTACTTTGCACCTCTGCAGTCCATCAAATCAGCCATTAAACATCAAAGATTATTTAATAAAACAACATTCGCAAATTAGTTCTACATTTTTCTTTGGTTAAACCACTTTAGTAAAAGTTGGAAACCACTGCACTTAAGTGATCTAGACTCTCTAGCAGCACTTTTAATATTACACAGCACTGCTGTTTTTTGTAATGAAAATAATTAGAAATATAGCTTATCTTGAATTGTAATGTTTTGCAATAATACAATATCACATAAAAACCTCAGAGTTGTTGCATGTTTGATCAGTTAAGTGCAACTATGATGACCTTACAAACTCATTCATGAATGTCACCAACCCCAAACTTCTGTACAGTATATGTTTTGAAATGGAATATAAAAATAGCTGCACTGTGAAATAAACCATTAATATATTACGACTTACAATTGTAAATCTCTAATCTTTTTCAATATTTTCTTGTCAGTATCTGCCTCAGTTGGCTAGCAGCACCGTCTTTCCTGCAGTGGAGAACAGAAGAAACTACAACAACCTGCGCAAATTCAACTATCATCTTCCCAACATATGATGGAAGACGACTCATCGGGAACCTGAGATGTGACCATCCACCTCCCAGCTGGTGTGTGTGTGTGTGTGTGAGTGAGACAGACAAAGGGCTCTGCTCTGCCTGTAGAACAATGATGTCACACTGCCAAAGCAAAGACTCACAGAGGCATTTCTGTCACATGTAAATGACAACAGCAATAATAACATTCAAATCAAATGTTGTGCTGTGCTTATAGTTTGTTTAGACACTGACATCAGCGCTGTAGAAGAGACCTTTTTTTTTTTTAGATCCAGATATTTTTTTTATTCTAAATCCTAATGATGCTTCGTGTACGGCTATGAGGGGGGAAAAAAGACAGCTAGACAATCCTCAGTTTCTTTGGATGTACTGCATCGTCTAGGTATTTAAGTAAAATGTTTATATTTATTTTATTCTACAAAGTTTTTTTTTTTTTTCAGAAAACTGGTCCAATTTAGATTTAAAAATGAGAATTATTATCTGAAAAAAATGAAGTTCTTTAAATCGGCATGAAATCAGAATTTATTCTTCTTATATATACATAAATAAATAAATAAATAAATAAATAAATATATATATATATATATATATATATATATATATATATATATATATATATATATATATATAACAATTCTGTTTGCGAAATTTAGTCCCTTGTTCTTATCATCATCGGGCATCTGCTGACTGTGGACAGTAATCCTCCACAACTGAATGCAAACTAGCATTAAAATCTTCCTGTTTTATTTAGCAATGGTCCAAACAGTTCCCAAAGGACGAAATCGTGCATCAGCCTGCTTTTTTAAATTTAATTTAGGAACCATTTCTATTGGATGTACGTCACCATATGGGGAAAAGGACAAACTTAACTCCCTTCTCATGCCAACATTAAATGACAATACTTGCAAGAAGTTTCCTCAATAGTTTGCAGCACAAACAAAGTTAAATAAAATATTTAACATTGTACTGAAACACATACATACCAAACCAGTACACATCCAGAGAAACTGAGCATTTCCAAAAGGTCTTTTTCCATAGCTGTATGTTTGAATAGTGTATATGCATGATTAAAGTCACTTCTAGAGTCATAACCAGGCCCAGACAGAATCTACAACATTTTAATATATATATATATATATATATATATATATATATATATATATATATATATATATATATATATATATATATATATATATAGATATATACTGTATAGGTAAATTGCAGTATGTGTTTTAAATATCATAAAACATATTAAATGGAATTGTTAGTTGGTGAAGGCATGATCAAAGTAGCCAAAATGTTTCATAAATAAAAATAAAACCAATGGTTCGGGGTTGAGTATAACTTGTTTTAATCTGTAGCACTATATCTGTGTGGGCCTGGATAACCCCGTGTTGACATTTAATACCCCATTGTGGACATGATGATCCTTTTGTTGCCTTTGCGACTGGTGCTAATAATTGAGCCACTGACTTGCACCACATGCCAAATCCAAGAGACGTGATTCGCAAACGTGTGTTTTTGTTTTGTGTTGATATGAATAGATGGAACTTTAAATAGTTGCTGTTTGTTTTCAGACTAAATCATTAAAGATCTTTCAGCAAAATATATCTGACTCTATAGCTTTTCGTAAGAGATGTGTGAGGAAACAGCTGGAAATTTATTGATAATGGCAAAATAACATCGTTCAACTGCCTCGGGTAGTCTGACAAAATGTAATCAAAAGCTAATCAGATGGGATGCCGGTTCTTTGATTTTCTGCATCCTGCCCTGTGATGCTCAGTTGCCTGGATACTGTTGCCGAAGTAGTGATGGACATCAGCCAGAGGGTTTGCCTCTGCTCGTATGGCTGTGAGAGTTGTGGTTTTCCAAATGTGCTGTGATTGGTTAAGCGAGATCTAGCTCTATGGTGAGTCTGGGAAGTGCAGCCTGGAGTCTGTCCACAGTCTGATCTTTATCTTTTACACCAGGGAGATCACTGAGAAACAGCCTCTCCAGCTTCCTGAAACACACATGCAGAGGTGACAATTATGATTTCAGTAGCTGAAGTCACTGTGATGCTACTTCCGCGGTCCGCTTAAATTTGAGTTGATTTTGATTAATGATGTTGAAAGTCTTGAGGCTTTGTCCCTGTTACACATTCAGCCTGACTTTGCGTAATGTGTGGGTATGAGATGGATGTTGAATGTTGTAGAATGCTGTAGTTTTGTGTGTGGTAGTTATTTGTCGTGGATTGGGACCTTGTTGGTCACTCAAAAATATGGCTACCCAGCCCTCTTCTCTCCTCTTTACCCCCTGCATAGGTGAGTGTATGCACCTTTGTAGCCTCTAGTTTATGACACCTATGCCTACATGACCAATCGAAGCTTGTCACCATGACAATAAGACACACAAATGGTAAACAAACAATCATTAAATCAAAATAATAGTAATATGGCTTGTATATACTGTCTTGACAAACTAATATGTTTTCAAAAAGCACAGAAAGCCCAAGTATGTACTATGGCCAATAATAGGCTTTTGTACCTGAGGAACTATTCCTAGATCTACTGGCGGAAGTGCCTGTTTTTTTCTACGTTTGTAATAATGCAGTAGCTGAGAATGGTTTTAGTTCTAGAAACACCATTTAGGGCAAAATGTATGTCTCAAACTCAATTCCTGGAGGGCCGCAGCTCTGCACAGTTTTACCTCAACCCTGATCAAACACTGCTGATCTCTAATTAATCAAGGTGTTGAAGACTCTATTGAACACCTTGATTATTTGGATCAGCTGTGTTTAATTAGGGTTGGACCAAAACTGTGGCTGCATCCGAAACCGCCTACTACTCAGTAGGTACTGTATTTGAATTCAAACGTACTACTCAGCCGTTGGAAAAGTTTGTTCTATACAGTATGAATGTGAAAAGTATGAATGGAATTCGGACGTACTACATCTGCCATTTTGTTATGGTCACATGACCAACCTGCATCACTTCACTTCCACTCATGAATTCTATCGCGGGGCATTATGGGATAGCGCAGCGTGCATGGGATGCGCACTCCAGAATCTCGCCGGAAGTAGTAAGTCATCCGGGTACTTCTCGCATACTGATTTTCGTATGCTATGAATTCGGACATACTACTCTGCTTGCATACTGATTTTAGCGTACTATATAGTATGCAAGTATGCGGTTTCGGATGCAGCCTGTGGCTGCAGCTCTGCACAGTTTAGTTCCAACCCTAACTAGACACACCTGATCAAATAACTGAGTGCTTTAGGCCTGTTTGATACCTACAGATATGGTGTTGAAGCTTTCACTTCGCTCTAATCCAGCACAATAGGAACAGTGAGGTAAGTGTATGCTGATTGTGCAAATACATGCCATACAAAACACAAGCACAGTATTTGAAAGTGTTTCAAAACACGGCAACATTTGAAAGCCAACATTCCTGGCATGTATTATGAAAACACAGCTTCGATTATGGCATCTTCTATCCTCCAGTCATTGATTTTGCAAAATGATGTTGGACTTGATGTTAGTGTCAGCTGGTTTATGTTACTTTAGATTGCTTGTGGTGGTGCAAATGTAACCAGGAAAACTGACCAGGAAAAACTTAGATGATGGGGAGGTAGGACTGGTTGCTAGTTCCTATAACTTAGTTCCTGGAACTCCCTGGTGCCAAAGCCTCTTATAATTAAAGTCCATACAAACCAGAAGTTGCAGAGACTTTTATTTCAGTATGCTGATGCACTTCCAGTTGAAATGGATTACTGAATAGGGGGCAGGGCTTTCTTTTTGCATATCATTCTCTTTTAGCAATTAACGTTAAGAGTGGCGGGGTTAAGATTATTGTGGCTGAAGCTGTCAAACTGACGTCAACAGATAAAGGACCGCCACTCCAAACGCTGAAGATAACTGTTAGACTTTGGTTGAAGATTACCAAAACAGACATTTTTTAATGGATTAACTTGCACTAATAAATTAATCTAGTTTTTTTCCAATGAGTATTTCAATAAGTGCCTTATATTAATAATAAATGAATAAAATGTTCTGTCTTTATTTACTCACACCTCAGTGTTGCAAATGTGCAAGAGTAATAATGTTCAATTTATTGCATTAAGCAATCATTTTCACTTCAAAGGGAGCTGCAGATATTTTGTTTTGTCTGTATGTGTTACTTTAACTCTCAGAGTATCATGTGGCCATTAATCTTTATCTTATGAATCACCAGAAAAATGTATTTATGCTTTACTGAAGAAAAAAACACATCTTTTATGGCCTGATGGTCAGTAAACTAACTGGCAATTTTGATTTCTAGGTGAACTATCCCCCAGACAAACTATACATCAGAGTGTTTCTCTGACATTTGTTCATGAGATTATAAACATCCTATAATCACTGTCAGCGTTTGTCATACACACAAAACTATGAGCAGCAATATGGCGCTAAACTGAAATGAAATATCCTGTTCTCATACCCGAGGTGATGAAGGGCGATGAGTCCTTTATCTGTCACGTTGCCACAGGAAACTACTGTCATCTGCTTTACAGTGTCCTGCAGCGTCTTTATCTGACCCAAACGCTCCAGGCAGGCGTCTTCTATATAAATACACTTATTCAACCTGATCTCCTCAACATGCTCCAGACCCTCTAAACAAACAAAGAATACAAAGGCATGTAATCACCATCAATTCTTTTAGATGTCTTTTGCAAACAATGTTTAATATGATGTTCAAGGGGTCAGCACCCTACATGACATGCAGAAACACCTATGTGTGTGTGTGTGTGTGTGTACCTGTTTAAGCTATTTTGTGGGGACCAAATGTGCCCACAAAGTTAACAAAAATTAAGATTTTTGGCATTGTGAGGACCAGCCTTCTGTCCCTACAACAAATATATATATATATATATATATATATATATATATATATATATATATATATATATATATATATATATATTATTTTTTTTTTTTTAATTAATAATCGATATTGATCTGCAAGTCAAAAGTAAAATATATCGTCACCTTGGAATTATAAGGTTCTATCTGTGTTCTTTATGATTTTGAGATATTGCACTTCGAGGTTTTTGCATTCCATGTAGCAAACAACATGTGTGTATCAATTCTCTTTCCTACATAAACATGACAGAGATATGTCATTTTAAAAATGTAATAATAATGTAACAATATTTTGATATTTGAGTTACATTTTTGTTTTCTATAACAATTATTTAATGTTTTAGGCTAAATATTTTGTTTTGTTCAAATTAAGTATACAAGGCTAAATATTTTATGTTCAGTTTCAGATTCCTTCTCAGTTTTGTGTGGTGCGGCATTATTTAGTTGACTCTAATTTTGTGTTTCTTTTTAGTCTGTTGCACTATCAACAAAGCAATCCGATGGAATGACAAAGAAAGCTGATTCTGATTGGTCCTTGTGTGTTCATTTAAAATGCTGATTGGGTCATAGAAAAAAACTTATAGAGCCAAGCTAGAGTTCAACTTGATAGATAAAACCTTTTTTGGTTTTTAAATAAAAAGTCTTAAAATGTAAACAACTTACAAAAAAAAAAAAACATCAAATAATGTAAATAAATTGTCATTTAACAAAAATGTCAGATAGAACTTTATAATTCTATAATTCTAAGGTGACAATATATATATATATATATATATATATATATATATATATATATATATATATATATATATATATATATATATATATATATATATATATATATATATATATGTATATGTATATATATATGTATATGTATATATATATATTTAGCCATCCTGTTTTTTTTTTTTAAATGAAATATTTCCCAAATGACGTTTAAAAGAGCACGGAATATTTCACTGTATTTTCTATAATATTTTTTCTTCAGGAGAAAGTCTTATTTGTTTAATTTCAGATAGAATAAAAGCAGTTTTAATTAAAAAAAAAAAAAAAATATATATATATATATATATATATATATATATATATATATATATATATATATATTAAGGTCAATATTATTAGCCCCCTTAGGCAATTTTTTTTAATATCTAGTAAAATATTATATACTGTAATCATGACAGATAAAAGTTTTTCATAATCTGTTATTAAAAATAATATATATACAAACCCATATGTAATAAATTTAATCCAATATATCTAATAAATCCATTAAATCAGTAGGATTATAATATAAAGAAATTAACAACATAATTGTGTAATATTATTATAATTTCAAATATTATTTTTCAAGTTGTCATGATAAAGCTGATTTTTTTTAAAAATAGAGTCCTCTCTCTTGTTGCTTTTTGCAGCGAGCTCTTGCAATGCTTAATTCTTAGCCTGGTTCATTGATCTTTTAGACAGCTTGTTTCAAGAAACAGATGTCAGCACTTCTTCAAATATTCTCTTTATAATAAAAATTAAAAAAAATATTTTAAGGTTAATTTTATTAGCCACCTAAAGCAAATTTTTTTTTTCAATTGTCCACAGAACAAACCATCAGTATACAATGATTTTCCTAATTAACCAAACCTGCATTATTAAAATTGCCTAGTTAAGCCTAAATTGCATTTTAAGCTGAATACTCGTGTGTTGAAAAATATCTAGTAAAATATCATGTCATCATGGCAAAGATAAAAGAAATCAGTTATTAAAACTTATGTTTAGAAATGTGTTGAGAAAACCTTCTTTCCGTTAAACAGAAATTGGGAAACAAATATACAGGGGGGCTAATAATTCAGGAGGGCTAATAATAGGGTTAAGACTTCAACTATATTCGTTTAATTCATTCACATTTGCATTTTCTCTATCCAAAAAAATCCAAAATAACTAAGTCAATTGAGATGATGATTTAGTCTGCATATTAATATGAAAAGTATAGTAAGTATATTGATGTACATTACAGCTGAATGCGTGAAAAGACCGTGTGAGTGAAAAGGAGCAAGGCCAGCACTGTATCTGTCTGTGTAAAACACTCCTTTGCTTTACGTCACTTTTTCCCCACAACCGAACCTCTCATCCTCACCTGTGACACACAGACAGTGTCTCATCCTCACCTGTGGCACACTAGCGGTGTCTCGGTGTCTCACCATGCACATCTCACACACACTCGCAAACTTTCCCTCTCTGGGGTCTGATTCGATAAATAATGCAGGGCTGTTTTCCTGGAGCAAATGGAGTAAGAGATCTGAGGGGTGAGGCGGGTATTTGACCTTCTCCATTCACTGATGATTTCATTAAATTTGCATAGGTACTGTGTCACAACGCTAAAGGTTAAAGATAATTCTGCTATGTGAACATAACTGGGTCAGGGCAGGGGGGAGGGTTTAAGATGAAACACTGCACCAGTCATTTTTGAGATTTTAACTTTGAAGAGATTTTGAGATTTTTGGCTTGTTAAAGAGTTTTTTTCAGTCTGATGTAAAAAATACACTATTAAATTTTTGTCACACTTTTAAAAAGCTTGCAACTTTAATTAAGATCAATATTTTAAAGGTTATTTTTTTTTAAATAAATATAAATATCACACATCTAGCAAACGTTACAATTTTAATATCAATATTTTGAAGATATTTACTGATGATTTCTTCATCCATAATTTGCTTGATTCCATACAACGTATTAATGTGCATAAAAATTGTAAAAATGTACTTTTTTTTCTGTTTTCAGATTTTTTTGAGCGATAAAAATACACTCACCGGCCACTTTATTAGGTACACCTTACTAGTACACAGTTGGACCCAATTTTGCCTTCAGAACTGCCCTCATCCTTCATGGCATTGATTCAAACAGGTACTGGAAAAATTCCTCAGAGATGTTGTTCCATATTGACATGATGGCATCACGCAGTTGCTGCAGATTTGTCGGCTGCACATCCATGATGCCAGTCTCATATTGCACCACATCCCAAAGATTGAGATCTGTGAACTGTGGAGGCCATTTGAGTACACTGAACTCATTGTCATGTTCAAGAAACAAGTCTGAGATGATTCACTCTTTATGACATGGTGCGTTATCCTGCTGGAAGTAGCCATCAGAAGATGGGTACACTGTGGTCATAAAAAGATGGACATGGTCAGCAATGAATGTGGCGTTAATAAAATGCTCAATTTGGTACTAATGGGCCCAAAGTGTGCCAAGAAAATATCCCGCACACCATTACACCACCACCTGATGTGGCACTTAGTGTTGTCTTCTGCTGCTGTAGCCCATCCGCTTTAAGGTTGGACTTGTGCGTTCAGAGATGCTCTTCTGCATACCTCAATTATAACAAATTTTACTGTTACTGAGTTACTGTTGCTATTTTATCAGCTGGAACCAGTCTGGCCATTCGCCCCTGACCTATGGCATTGCCAAGGCATTTGCACCCACAGAACTGCCATTCACTATAAACCCTAGAGATGGTTGTGCGTGAAAATCTCTGTAGATCAGCACTTTCTGAAATACTCAGACCAGCCTGTCTGACACCAACAACCAGGCCATGTTCAAAGTCACTTAAATCGCCTTCGCCATTCTGATGCTCGGTTTGAACTGCAGCAGATCGTCTTGACCATGTCTACATGCCTAAATGCATTGAGTTGCTGCCATGTGATTGGCGGATTTCCATTAAAGAGCAGATGGACAGGTGTACCTAATAAAGTGGCTGGCAAGTGTAGATTCCCCAAAATCCCCTCAGTGAAAATGTGTTTTACTCCAATATGTCAAAAAAATAAAAATCAAGTATTTTAAACCTGACTTCATCCAGAGTTCAGATATTTCTGGTAAAATGTATGAAAATTAGCACACTTGATTAAACAACTCTGCATTTGCATATTTAAACGTAGCGTATCAGAAATCTTCTAACAAAAATTCTTAATGCAATCAATCTACTTGGGAATTATTGTGATAAATATTACTTATTATTATTAATTTAATCCTATTCACCTGCAGTGTCTGGCCTTAAAGGGACAGCACACCCAAAATGTACCGTTCCTCGCCCTCAAGTGCTTCTAAACAGTTTCTTCAGTTGAACACAAAGCAAGATATTCTGAAGAATGTTAGAAAAAAGCAGCCACAGTAATACAACCTGTGTATAATGTTCATAGTACATCCATCTGTAAATATCACCAAAGTTTTTCTATAATTGAGCTTTATAACTTACCTATATCCTGCTCTTGCTCTTGCTATTTCAATCCTGCTTAGACCTAAACTTAATTCCGTTGCCTTGTACTTGTACATGTGTAATGACATTAAAGTTGAATCTAATCTAGTTGGAACAGAAAATACTATGGAAGTCATAGTCATTGGCAACATTCTTCAAAATATATTCTTTTGTGTTCAACAGAAGAAAGCAACTCAGACAGGGTTGGAGGATGAGTAAATGATCACAGAATTGAGTTTTTGTGTGAACTATCCCTTTAATCCATCATTTTGCAGCAGTCAGTCTCTTACCCAGATGATCAAACCCTCGGTACATGATACAGGACTCTGTGGCATCAATAGCTTCAATCCGGTATCTGCCCAGTGGCCCCGTTGGGAGTCCGTTGTAGTCGTGCTGCCAGCGGTCGAAACCACGGAAGCGAACTTTAGCACCGCACCTCAGGAGCCACTCGGCAGCAGCTCGATCAGGACCTACTGCTTTAATACGCTCATAATCAACTCTAGAAGGATCACAAACACGACAATTAATGATTAGTACATCTGGGAAAACACTCATGACATAACATGCAGTAATGGATAGCACCTTAAACGGGACCTATTATGCAAAGATCACTTTTACAAGGGGTTTAAACACAGACGTGTGGCAATAGTGGGTGAATATAACCAGATTCTATTCAATTCTATATTTTTATAATCACACTTGATAAAAACACTTTGACATTTTGCCCTTGTACATGTCATCAAAGGGAAAAGCTCTGTTCACTAGTAAAGGTATCTTTCTCATTAGCATAAACAGCTCTGAGTGAGAAGCAGCCATTTTAAATCTATACCTATGCCATTTTTAGCTCCACCCTCTTTTCACAATAGGGCTGGAAGCACAATCTAATTTGAATTTAAAGCAACAGTCACTAAAACAGCACAGTTAAGGCATGTACACATCGGGATGCTTTTAGTTTGCGTTTATCATCAGCGTTTTTCAAGACGTTTTTTCACATTCAAAGCTAATCGATTTTCACGGGCGTCGAGCAGAGAAGTATGCGAAATCACTCCTTGACGTTAGATGGTGCTTAATAAAAAACAGAAAGACCCCGGTGCACAGGGTGGCACTACACAACTTTAATCTTCTGACACCCGCTTGTAACACAGAAGAAGAAGAGAAAAAGTTGACAAACTTGTTAAAGTCACTTTTGGTACGAACAAGCATGGATGGTTCAAGTAGCAGCTCCAGCTCTAGCGATGAATAAATGACTATTGTTCACCAGTGCATGTGCCTCAGTTTTGCGCTTGAGCGCCTCCAAGTGCTGTTTACTGTAACTTCAGCAGCTTCGTGCACCTGAATAAAAGTACCAATCTGATTGGTGGAGAAGGTTTTGATGTGGTGCATCAAAACAAAAAAACAAACGAGCTTTAAGCGTTTCTTTAAAAATGATGCTTTTTTTTTATTGTTTTTAGCATAAGAAAATAAACAAAACCATAAACAGAACAACAACAACAAAAAAGTCTGTTTCAAAATACACAAATAGTCGGGCACAACATAATACACTATCATCCAGAAAGCGTAAGGAAATAAATAGAATTAAATATAAAACAATAATAATTTACAGGGAAATGTGTGGGCTCCACAACTCGACTTATGCCAAACCAATCCCACCTGTAAAGAGTTACAAGTCAGCATTACTGATATAAAACATAATTGGATTCTAGATTTTAAAAAATGTGTTTAGTTTGTTTGTCTAAAAACGACACTTTTACACCAGATGTTTTGAGGTGTCTTTTTTTAGTCAAGAGACATTAAACGTCGATGGAAAATGTGAGCAAAAAGCCTCCTGGTGTAAACAGGCCTTTAGGATCAAAGCCTAACAGGAGCAGTTTTAGAGTTATTTAACCATTATTTATGGGTTATTTTGAGCTGTATCTTCACATACACACTTCAGGGACATCAGAGACTTATTTTACATCTTGGAAAAAAGGGCATAATAGGTGTATAATAGGTTGCGCATCGATCGATTACTCTTCAGTGTTTGGACTCCCAGCAGTGAATATTAAAACAAATTGAACTGAACTGAGCTAACTGAACTGAACTTAAACTCTGAAAACTGAACTACACTATCAATTCACTATAATCTTCTTTGTGAAGCTGATTTGACACAATCTACATTGTAAAAGCGCTTTACAAATAAAGATGAATTGAAAATGTAATTAAAGTGTAGAGAAGCCATATAAAACCAAAGATAGACCAAATAATCAATTAAATAATTATTAATTAATGAATCAATTTTGATCAATGTCATTCCTAAATACATGTCTTAAATTAAAAACAATTTACAATAACTGAACAGTACTGTATAGCTGTTTGTAGTGATTAAATTGCACTAAATTAATATCAGTACTATAGAAGTCAATTAAAAACACACAATTTATTGACCATAATTTACAAAACAATTTTGGACGGCGCTTTTTAGAGACTACATGGACCTTTTAAAAGTCAATTTGACAAACTTCAGGGCTGTGATCTGCAAAACCTAAAAATGGAAAACAAAAAACACCAAGTAAATCCACCAGAAGTATAGGCATATTAAATATAGATCATTCAGCAAACTTGTGTAAAATATAAACCGTACTGTTTAATCCTAATGCTTTCGAATCATAAGTTTAGCCTGGAAATAGGAGCTGTTGTTGTGAATTAGCACCGTTAGATTAGTCTCTGTAGGGATTCTTCACCAGGGACAGTCATTCTACAGACTAATCACTCCAGACAAGAGTCTCTTATAGATATTTATGGCTCTCACACTAAACATTTTGCCTGTTGTAATTGGCCTCAGGTGCTTTAGTTTGGCTGGGAAAGGAAAAGAATGATGACATCCGTACAAGAGCTAAACTAGTAGTGACCTAGTTTTTGTTTTGTTGATATATGTGACGACATTAAGAGATGAAAAGTAAAAATATATATATATATATATATATATATATATATATATATATATTTATATACTTTATTTGAGAATTTTGGTTTTATATTGTGAAAACTTAAAGTCCCCTGCCACTTATTTGACTTTATTTTTATCTAGTTCTCATTTTGTAGATTTTTTTGTATTGCTATATTATGATTAATGCCAGTGTTGTGTATGTAAATTGATTGTGTTTTTGTATAGTTTTCTGTCTAAATTCTGCTGAAAGTTTATTTTTAAAAATGTTGTTTTGGAAAATATGCATATTTACTTGTTGAAAACAGCATTCAGCCAGCCCCAGAACTCTCGTCTGCCCCCTGACGGCTGCTTATGAGCGGATAAAATCCTCCGCGCTGACCAGGTGAACAATCTCATATTTATGGCTAAGATAAAGAAACAGAAACAACAGGTGAGATGTCAAAGCATGAAGACGCCATGTTCACTTTCACACTCTCTAGTGGCAGATCTATAATCACTTGTGCATGTTGACTATCGTGTCATTGAATAATGGAGGACAACATATTCATTTATCAAACCTCTAAATATCCTAAAGCTCCAACAGAATCGATTCCTATATCTTTATACGAATAATTCTACATTAATATAGCGAGAATCCTACATAACTGACCCTGCTGTTCGGCTTGTTGCAGTTCTGACGGGTTCGTTATTTACATCCTGCGTCCTCCATGCGCGCTCGCTCTTTCACCTGCTGCGTCATTCCGTCTCGCGTTCCCATTGGTGAGCGAGTGTACGTCAGGGGCGGGTTCTCGAAGGACACATTCAGCGCCCTCGCGGAGACATTCCTTTACCCGAGAATAATAAACCGGACAGACCAGCAGTATGGTCACACGGTTATTATTACAAGTGTTTTAGGAAAAGTCCAGCTATGCTTTGTGGAATAATGATGAGAACTTTCGGTAGCGGGTCTGTGTGCGCGCGCTTACTGTCACAGAGAGCAAAGTCTGCAACATGCAGAGCTGCACATCACAGCGGGTGAGAATTACTACAACAATGATATAGAGAGTACTTAAAATCGGAGTACAGCGTACTTGGAATGATAGTAAGCTTTCAGATTGTACCCTCACATGAAGTGCTATGCTGAAAGTACTAAAAGTCTATCAGGTGTACTTTCACTGTTAGTGCATGTACAGTGATACTGTGCTGGTCAGAGTTCATTCAGTGAGACTTCAGCTAATGATGGACTGGTTTGTTGTGTAGTTCAGCGAAACTAAATGAACACTGTGTCACAGTTTATTCACAGACATGTACATAATGTCTGACATCTTCGTCTGTAGAAAAAATACAAGATATTTTAAGGAATGTTGTTCCCCATTAAGTGTTTGGTTAACTTCCATTACATTGAGGAAAAAAATATTTATTCGTGTTCCACAGAAAAATAAGATGTCATGTTTCGAAGCACGTGAGAGTAGCTAAATAATGACAAAGTTTATTTGAACCATTATTTTAAAGTTATTATTTTTTATCTTATCCAAATAGCTTGCAATACAGAAAGCATATTTTATAACTAAAAGTCATATTAGTGCTTAAGTTTTCTTTATTGTTCTATTTGTTTTTCATTTCAAGTAAGAAAAAAACAGAATTTTTCGATAATTTTCCCTATTATTGATTATGCTGATGTTATTTATAAGAATACCTCTGATATTAATTCAAAACCTTTAAATACTGTCTTCAACTCTCGGCATAGGTTTGTTTTAAGATGTCTGTATAGAACCCATCATTGCATATTATATGAATCTCTTGCTTCAACACATTTTCCGTTGACAATATCATTGGTATTTGTTTCTTTTTAAATATGTTTATTTTAGTTCCCCCTCTTATTTAAAGCTTTTAGTTTCATTTACCTCCTCATAATCTCTATGACATATGCTACAGAATTACTTTTTTTGTTCAAAGAATTAGTGGCCGTAGGTTCTTTCAATACAAAGCTCCTTTTGACTGGAACAATCTTCCTACTTCCTAAGTCATTTAGTCTTTTCAGGACTAATTTGTCTTCTTTTTTGGAAACAACTTGTAAATGTTGTTAATATTGTTTCCAAATTTAATGCTTATTATTTATTTGTATATCAAATTGTTTGTACTATTGATTATTTGTTTTTGTTTGTTTAGGCATTAGACTGTGGGGTTTGTTTTGTTTATCTGTATGATTGTTATGTGCTGTTTGACTTATCTACTTCTTAGGTACCCCCTCGAAAACTGGATGGCTCATCTCAAAAGGGCTATCCCATTTAATAAATTTAAAATATGCTGTTTTAAAATAAAATATTATACACTATGAAGAATTATACATAATAAAAGCTAAAAGTGAATTCAGGCATCACAAGTGCACAATAATTATGACAAAGTATAAAAACAACAAAAAATGACAGATTTCCAAATGATTGGATTTAATAGTGATATTAACTTATTAGTGTTATTTAACATTGAAAAACTGTAGAGGTAAACTAAATATAGGTAATCTGAGAAATAAAACTGTCCCGGTTTTGAGATTTGTGCTGAAAACTAATTGCCGAACAATACATTTTTTATGCTAGCGGTAAAAATGTTAATTTTTTAAAATGTTTTCTACACACAGCAATCCTTGTTTGTTTTTGGTTATGCACTTAAATTTCCTTTAGTTAACAGATGATTAATTAATAATAGTGGCAAGTCCAATGAGAATGAACAATTAAATATCTAATATTGATTAATAACCCATATTAATCCATTATGTGCAGCTCATTCGATGTGGCCATTATTGGTGGAGGGATTGTTGGATTGGCGTCCGCCAGAGAGCTGATCCTCAGGCACCCAAACCTCAGCTTTGCCCTGCTTGAGAAAGAGAAAGAGCTGGGTAAGTCTGCATTAGTTCCTGATCTTAACATCTTAATATTCACATTGAGTTCATGTGGATTTCTTAGGTGTTATTCTCCCGCAGCTCTCCATCAGACAGGTCATAACAGTGGTGTAATCCACACTGGGATTTACTACACTCCGGGCTCTCTGAAGGCTCAGCTCTGTGTCCGCGGAGCCACACTCGCTTATGAGTACTGCCAGAAAAAAGGGGTTCCGTATAACAGATGTGGCAAGGTGAGATCGAGCACAAGGCTTCTAACACCACAGGCCCCATTTACACATGCTATTGAAGAGGAAAAGACCATTCTGTCATCTTTTACTCATCTTTCACTTGTCACAAAACTGTTTGAGTTTGTTTCTTCTGTTGAACACAAAAAGACGACGATTTGTAGAAAGCTGAAAACCTGTAACTGTTGACTTTCATAGTATTTTTTTTTTTTTTTGTGAAATACTATGGATGTCAGTGGTTACAGTTTAAACAGACATGCTTCAAACTGTCAAG